GGTCACTCGCGGGTCGATCCGAATTCTCGGGTTGGGTGGATAAAATCCGGGTATTAGATGTAAATTTTAAGTTTTGATTAGGTTAAAAACGTAACTTACCTATTTTTCAGATTAAAAATAATTCAAACAGAAAATCATTTTATTGGGAGGAGTTTTCAGATTATGTCTTCAGCATCTTGTCCTTTTCAGATGAATTCTCCAATCTAACCCCCAAAATCCAGAATCTAAAATCTTCCCCGCCAGTGCCAAAAAACAAATTTCACAATTTCTGCAAAATCAAAGTGGAAATTTCAGAAATTCGCAATCCAAAAGATTTTTGAATGGCTCAAGCAGCGAGATTAAGCATGAGAATGCACAAGGAAGTGAAGCTTCTCCTCTCCGATCCACCTCACGGCGCTTCGTTTCCACATCTCTCTTCCGCCGCCGCTGGCTCCGCCGATCTCTCTACTTTCTCCACCATCGATGCTCGTTAGCTTTTCATATCCATTCCCAGTTTCCGCAATTGATATTTCTCTTCTTAGCGCTTTAACCCCCTTTTCATCTTTTGGTTTTGATTTTCCAGAGATCCAAGGTCCTGAAGATACTGTATATGCTGATGGAATCTTCAACGTGAAGATTCAAATCCCTGAGAGGTCTGTTTGGTTTTTTCGATGATGAGAAATTGGCCCTATCGTTAATGGATTTTTTGGTGGTTTTTTTTCATAATCAGATATCCGTTTCAGCCTCCGATTGTGGCCTTTGCTACACCGATTTACCATCCGAACATCGATAATAGTGGCCGGATTTGCCTTGACATCTTAAATCTCCCTCCCAAGGTCAAACTTTGTTGCTATCTTGTCGCAATTCGTGTTAGATTTGCTCTTCTGGTTATGAACTGTGGTTTGTTTCTGGTATGAGTACAGGGTGCTTGGCAACCATCATTGAATATCTCAACGGTTTTGACGAGCATCGGATTGTTGCTGAGTGAACCGAATCCGGATGATGGATTGATGTGTGAAGTAGTAAGTCTACTTACCAGTCACTCGTTTTTCTCTGAGAGTTTTTCTTTTGATTCTTGAAGTATTTGCTGNTCTTATTTTCAGAGCAAGGAGTACAAATACAATAGACAAGCTTTTGATTATAAAGCACGAGAGATGACCGAGAGGTATGCAAAGGTTAAGGCTGATGGAAGCAACTCCAGCCTCCAAATTCAGGAAAGTATAAACGCAGGCGAGGTTAAGGTGCGTGGTTAAATAAGTTCAGTTTTTCTTCTGAAAAGTAATGTTGATCTTTCCTTGACAGATAAGTTCATTGTTGCTTCCATTTTGTTTCTTAAGAGTTGCGGAGACGGGAAGCCATCTGAAAGTGGAAATAGTGTTTTAGCTTGTAATCACGAAAAGCCGGAGGGGATTAAGAACAAGTTAACAGTGGAGCCTTCCTTAACACATAGAGAGAAATGTGACACTGCAGCAAAAGATATACGGAATAGCCAACTGCTTCTCTCAAGTTCCAAAGATCAACAAATGGATGGAAATGGAAAAAGAAAAGCAGTGATTGGTTTCGCTGATGCAAACGCGTATGGTAACGATGGGATAAAAGCGAGCAGGAAGAAATTATCTCTTGCCATGCCATTGCCTCCTCAATCTCAGAAGAAAGACTTGTGTGGTGGAGAACTCACAAATGGAGTTTCAGCTTCTTGCAAAGAAAACAAGAAACCACATTCGAACGGAAAGAAGCTTTCTCTGGGGCTAAAGCAGCCATTGGATAATGCAGCATCACTTAATAACAACTTGGCAGCAAAAAGTGACAGCAGTAGACTAAGCCAAAAACTGTCCCTGAGACCACTCGGAGAGTCAGCGTTGAATGAAGTACGCAAAACCAAGGTACTTGCGCAAACTGACATGGAACCAGACATGAATCAAATTCAAGATGCAAGAAACTGGCGCGGTGAGTTTGAGAAGTCGGGCTTGGAAGAAGCATCAATGCCTGAATCCATTGTTGTACTAGACAGTGATGAAAGCGGAGAAGAAGATAAGACAGTCTCTTCGAGGTCAAGATTATCATTGGCAAGGAGGAGAAGCCTCAAGTTGAAAAGCTGATGAAAACTGTTTTCTTTGTTGTTTTCGGGTTTTAATAAAGCTTTATGATTATTAAAACTTGAAATACAAATGAAAGTATAAACTCTGAAGAACTGAAGGATAAGTTTTATTGATAATGAAATAGATTAGAATGGGATTTATTATAATTTGAAACAATCACATACGCCTAAGCCAGGATTACAGACTCCATCACAGGGACAATTCCAGACACAATCAAAGTCCGAATGACTTTGTCAAATCTAATAACTTAACACAACAAATAAAAAGACAAAATAACCTTAGCAATGTTTTTTATTAACTAAATTGCCATTGCAAAACCTAAAAAAAAAACAGTTAACAAAGTTTGCAGTTTGCAGTCGGGTTTTATTAACAAAGTTTTATTAACCCGAGTCATTCTAGTCTTCT